GGAATGACACGGCTTGGCTACAAAGCCAATAGCAACAAAGAGAGCTATATACATACATATATATATAGGTAAGTAAATGCATCAAAATGAAGGGTGTAGGCTAAATATATTGCTATCCTTTGATTGTGAACATTGTGGCATTGGTAAAACGCATTTATTTTTTTAATATTATTGATATTTTCTTTGTGTTGGGCTTTCTTCTTATCTCTTCTTGAAGCTACCAATTTTATCACTCATACGCGCTGGTGTCCCTGATAATTAGATACATACATATGTATACGAGCAAATCTCACAAGTTGTTACATTTTGCGACAAAAATGGTCATCTTTCACACAGATGGTTTTTAGAGCATAATGAACCACATTTTTGCTATTACCAATCAAAATTCTAAAAAAGCGGATTTGCGGCCCACGCTAGTATAAACTGTTTGGTAAAACCTAAACTATGCCATTCGATAACTGCCGCATTTGTAGGCGAAAAACTGAACGTAACGATTTTCGCAAACCTCTTTCAAAGTTAATTTAGCAAGTTTTACAGAGAGCGAAGCAAATGATTTGGGTGGGACAGGTCCAAGGTCACACGGCTTATTCATAAAAAATTTCCATCCAAAGATTTTCTACTTTTTGCAAAGCCGCTAAAAATGTGTGGCGACTAGCTTTATCGTGATGGAATACAGCACTGAAGACTAACACTAATCGCTTGTTTTGATCGCAAAAGTTGTTGGTAGGAGGTTGAATCTATGATAGTCCTAAATCGGAACAGCATTTAATGCCTTTCTAATACTACTTAACGCTCAGTTTGGGGTAGTCACTATTTGTACAGATTACCTTACCTCGATTCCAATTGCCCTTCTCGTTCGCGATTCACTTTTAAAGGCTCGCAATGATTTTATTGTCGACCCAGTAATATGTAAATATATTATATGAAAGATCCAAACCCATTTTCTGGCCGGAATATCACTAGATGGGATATGTTGAAAGACTTAAATTTTTGGGAAAAAGAGTGTAAATTTTAGTTTAAACTTTAAATTAAAAATTTTTATTTTTAAATTTAAAACTTAAGTTGAGTTTCAATTTTACATTGAGTATTAAGAAATGGATGCACAAACATATAGTTCATAGCAAAATTTTGAAAAATCTTACCTAATTGCCCAGAACTACCCCAGCAACTCCCATCCAGCTCATGAGTCATGACATTCGTCTCCTGGGAGGTATGGAAATTGAACAAGAAATACGATAAGTCCATGTTTACATGAACGGATATCGGACCACCGTCTTGCTGAAAGCATAATAGACGGCCAATTTATTCGCCACTCTACTCTCACACCTGCTCTCTAAGAGCACTCTTCAACAAGCCGCCGTACTCGAGCAGTGAAACCACGTTTGCCACTCATTGAGTACAGCCGCCGAAGAAGTAGTCGGATTTCAGCGAGCCCGAAAGAGCAACTTGTACGATGAGTAATGTCAAGAAGGTACAGAGAAAAAAGATGCCGCCTGGAGAAAAAGGGGCAACGGTGCACGCGAGCCATGTACGGTACCGTTGTAGGAAACTGAAGAAGGAAGCGAGACGTATTTGCCGCAATAAGAAGAGAGAGGCCGAAATATGTACGTAAGTGCGAAGGCCGAAATTTTATCAAAGAGTTAGGCAACTTAGGGATGGTTTCAAGATCAGGACGAACCCCTGTAAGAAAAGCCATGGTGACTTATTGACCGATGTCCAGAACGTGCCTAAATTATGGAGGAAACACATCTCCACCCTATTGAACTGAAAGTAGTGGAGAAGACGAACACGAGCCCCTAGTCAATGACATGGAGTCAATGTCGCAGGCCTGACTATGACGAAGTACGAATACGACAGCCTGCCAGCCGATCTTTTTAAGTATGGCGACGAAGAGCTGATAAGGTGCATGCATCAACTCTTATACAGAATATGGTCAGATGAACGCATGCCCACAGGAAAGGCGATCCCGCCATACGCACCAACTACCCCGCGATCAGCCTGTGGTTTGTGTGAAAGACTGACGCCCACCGTCAACGCACTGATTGGTCCTTGGAAAAGATCCGCGAGAACAGGATCGACACACACCATCTATTTGTCGATTTCATAGCCGCTTTCGATAGCACAAACAAAAAGTCGTCTTTATGCCGCAATGTCTGAATTTGGTATTACCGCAAAACTAATACGGCTGTGTAAAGTGATGTTGAGCAATACCACCACCCCCGCAAGAATTGGGAAGGATTTCTCCGAGCCGATTGATACCAAACGAGGTTCGAGACAAGGTGGCTCCCTTTCGCGGGATTTCTTTAATTTGATGTTGGAGAAGCACGATACTTTACTAGAGCGTGCAATTGTTGGCGTATGCCGGCGACATCGATATTATCGGTAAAAACAAGTGCTACGCCTGTTCTGCCTTCTCGGGATTAGATAGCGAATGGGTTTGGCGGTGAACGTGGACAAAACGAAGTATCTCCTTTCGTTTTTGAAGGTTAGAGTTTGTAGGTCGAAAATACAGTTCTTTGATCGGAAATTTACAGTTTTTTGAGTTTTGTTCGCCATATACCACCTTCATCGTGGCGTTAAATATTTAACCCAGAAATTTCTGAAGCCCATCAAGAAGTTTTATTCTGAAAATTGAGAGAGATGCCAAAAACAAAAATACCCAAAACAAAAATATTCATCTGTCAGATTTGCCTATTGTTCAGCCGCACTATCACAAAAATCGTCTTAAACTGCTTGAAAAGATTTAAAAACTTATACCTTAAAATTTATTTGTTAACGATTGTATCTTTTTCGGTATTAGTATTTTTGGCTTCTATAGTAGGGATTTCAGATTTAGGATAGGAGTTCGAGATTGAAGCTTTCTTTTTATGCTGTTCAAAAGATTCCACATTGCACCGTTATTCTACTACAAAAGTTTTAAAAATGGGCAAAAATTCGTACTTAGACACTTTTTATCCAAAATTTCTCGAAAATGACTGATAAATTCTATCATTGAATATTAAGTTTGCTTCGATGCATCGATATTTTTCGATCCATCGGAGAGTATACATCGATGCATAGGATTTTAAGAAATTAAATACTAAAATTGAGCTAATTATGTCTCTAACGGACTATTGAATCAGGTCAAAAACTCTTCGTAAAACCTAAGAAATCATTAAAATTTAAATTTTTAAGTAATACACAATACTCCCGTAATTTTTGAGGGTTTTCCATTTTGTCCGATATTATGTTTAACAGTTACATATAACTTAAAATTTAATACTATTTTATATGGAAAAAATAACGAGGATGGTCAAGAAAAATGCTTATAAAAACAAAGCTACAAAAGAAGATTGCGTCATTTGTGAAACTTAATCTGCTTGAATGAGATGCACAACAGACCTGCAATCACGAGTTTTTCTAAAATATCTAAAATCGTTGGTCAAACTCGCTTTTCTTTATCGCACAAATGAAAAACTAAACTGTAGGTTCAATGCACTACAGATGCATCGATAAATCGACTGTTTATACATCGAGTGGAAAATTTTCGTTGCATCGAAGCAAAACATGGATATTTTCGATGCATCGATATTTTTCCTACATCGATATTCTGTAGTCCCTTTGTGTGACTGTTATTTGGTTCAACTGGAAAATTGTGCTCACTATTTTTTAATAATTTTTATGCATATCATTCACATCTGCAGTAGTTCATATTATAAACGAGTGGATAGTTTTAAAAAATCACTTTACTTATACTCGTTATATAAAAATGTTTGCTTACCCCGTCTACTTTTAGGCGAATTTCCTTTCCAGCTGCAGCTAAAAGAGCGCGCAAAATATTTGTTGCCGTTCCTGTTTGTCGACTGGAGACCAAATGCACAGCAGTTTGGGTGCGAGACTAGAAAATAAAATACAAATTTATGATTTTTTATATATTTAAATAACGATGTAAAAATCTATTAAATTTTACAATGAGAGCAGTAATCATTTTCACGCAAAAAATTTACACAAATTAAAAAGCCTTTATGAGTTAAAAAAAAATTAAGCTACGATAACAATTTTAGCAAATCTAATTATATTGAGAATATCACCTTTTTAATTCTGCGATGAAATTTAAATTCTAACTATTTATTATTATTATTTTTTTTTTCAATTTGGAAAAATTTACCTTTGAAAAAAATCTAAATAAAATATTGTAAGCGCTGCAACCGCTCTCTGCAATAGTCTCGAATGCAACTACTTGCAACGATGAAATTGAATACTCACCTAGCGGCAATAAATTCAAGTACCTTCGAATTTACGTGAAAATCTTCGATTACGGGTGTGAAAATTGATGGTGAATAAAGTGCAAAATTAAATGCAAAAACAATGCAAGCGAAGAATGGGAAACAAACGGAAATCGCAGTAAAACGTTGTTAGAAAGTTAGGCATGTCATTCGATAGAATTTACGACAACTAAGTTGTAGTACAGTAGTGCCTTGATTGAATTGTCTTGCAATTGCGGGAAGCACTTCAGGCTAAAGAGCAATTTATAAATATGAACCAACTCTATGGAGTATTTCAAGAGGAGTATTCTAAATAAAACTACATTTTTATTACTAAAGACTTTTTTTAACTCGTATGTACATACATACATACATATGTATTTTAAATAACAAATTCTCATCTGGCTTACTGTTGTCCAGTATATTGAATTAATACTCTACGGCTATTTTTAACACTAACACATTTTAACATCCCCTCTTGAAATACGAACACTTAAAAGTCAACAAAAGCAATGAATTGGGGAAACACATTAACCCAGTCGGAACTTGAACTAGGTAAAAAGGATTCTTATATAATTCACAAAAAAAAAATCATAAATAATTTTTTAGTTCACAAAGTTTGTATGAGGCTATAAAAGACAGTTAAATATGCATTTCATTTTCACAATCGAACTACTATTTCCGGAGATTTTTCGATTCATTGATTGACAGGGATTGAAACACACTCCTTATTGAAGTTTTTGATATGTAACAACTGTGACTTTGGCGGGATAAGACTGACTAAGCTAATATTGTTATATTTTTGAGCTTTAAACTTGCGCTGTCGTGTGCTGTCATTTGGGATGCGAGTGAGCATATATACTTATACGAAAAGAAGTACAAACTTGACAATGGCATAACGCTAAAGAAACAACTAACAGTTACTAATGTTTATAAGTAAATAGATAACAGTAAAAAAAGTATGATGACTAAAATTGAGGATTCTCAAACTAAACGATGATCTTTCCCTTTTCGGTATTGATGCCTACCACGAAGCAACATCATTATATTGTTTAAAGTATGTTGCAAGGTTTTTTGACTTTCGAATACATAGCGCTATTTTTGGAAGATGTATATATGTTTATAGAAAAGACAAGTAATAGATTTTGTTAAAATAATGTCTTTGAGCATTCGAGTATTCTTCATGATCATCTTGTTGGCCCAAAGTCAGGCAAAGCAGGGCGAGTGTCAAGAACGCTCAAGTACCTTCTTGCTTTAAGTATTCATGTGGGTGTATGAAACTTCATACTATACATATGGCGAAGCTCAAAAAGGTGCTTAAGTTGTCGCAATCAGCTCAGAAGATTACTAGTGGGTTTTGCTTTATCCTTTAACATATCCTTTATACATTAGACTCCAGATTGAAAGATCATGAACCAAAGCGATTACGTAGTGAAACAGGGAAAGCACTCTTAGAGTGTTTCGATGTAGGTAGTTCGATGAGGATCAAATGTCGACTCCGCCAATATCTTTTCGAAGCCAAGGTACACACATGCCTCTGTAGAGCAGAAAACTGTGCGTCCAGCAATGAAAGCTGTATATAAAACAGAAAACCAGAATCTTAGACACTTTATCCTCTTCCTTTTCTCTTCAAAAAGCCGACGTTTGTGCGCATTGTAGTCTCATTTAACGCTCATTGCGTACTGCCACAAAAGTCGGTTTTCAGCGAGCCGGAAAGAACATTTGGTAAGCCGAGGAATGTTGAACCACTGCATAGATATATGACCTGCCGGGCCACCCTGCAATCGGGCGCAACGCTAGCTATGGTGGATCGAAGATTGGGAGTTTAAGAGGGAAGCGAGGTATATTTTCCGAAATAAAGAGTGAGTGTGAATATCTTTAAAGTTTGATTCCCAGATGGTAAAGATAATAATGTCGATAACGGTAGTAATGTCGATAACGGTACCATGACAACGAAATAGATCATGATAGGCAAGCAAAGGCAACAAAAACTTTATCCCTTAACTTTATTTTTAACCGACTTCCAAAAAAGGAGGAGGTTATCAGTTCGTCGGTATATTTTGTTTTTTATGTATGTTACCGCATAACTTTGGACCACGTCAACCGATTTCGATAATCGATAATAAAGGTAGTGTCTCAGAGGTGGTCCCATACTAATCTGGTTAAGATCCGATCAGTGGATCATGAGATATACATATATATATATATTTTTTTTTTATATCAGTTGAAGTCGGTTTTTTTTTTGCTAAAAATTACTTGTTCAATGCCGATTTCCTATTGGTTAGATACCAACACCGCAAAATTGGTTGAAAAAGCTAAAATTATACCAGTATAAATTTTTGAATGACATATTACCGATATTCTACTACATTCAACCTAAGTACGAGTACTTCGAAATGCATATCAACACCACTCCAAGATACATAGTTTTGTAGCATTTGAAGCAACAGACAATGCATTATTTTTATTGCATGTATGTATGTACATATTTATATGTACATATGTAAGTAAGTCGTTGAATTAACGGTGGTGGTTGCCCACAAATTTTTGCTTAGTTACCGAAATTTTGTTTATTTCCGGAATATTTTCTGCCATTTACATATAAATAATATGCGAGGCAGACTGTAAAAGTGGGCGTTGGAGCTAATTTTGGTACATATGTCTATGTGCGTCTCAAAATTCGTAACAACTTGCACTAGTACTTGCCAATGGCTATAATTTTACGTATAAGTATTTCTCGATTTATGTCCGATAAAGTATTAATGACTGCAGATTTAGTTGATTGAGAGCGTCGCATGCGTCATAGAATAAAATGTAACAAAGAGAAACATTGTTTTTGCAACTGAATTAAGCCATTAGGAAACATTCTAAAGAAAATCTTCTACATATATATATTTTCGTTCTTATGAAATTCGTTCTTCAACTCCACTTAACACCCACCTCCGCCACAATGAATCAATTACATTAATTTGAGGCATATTTATTCGTTATTTTCACTTGAAAGGTTAGCAAAATGGAAAATGCATGCCAATATTTAGGTAATCACAATCAGTTGACCTTCACCATTGCTGCTACAATTAGGGGCGAGTGCAAGAGCGGCGGTCAAGTAAGTGAAAGTTACACGCCACACAGGTATTAGAAGAAATTTGAAAACGCAAAAGAAAGTGCAGGACGTGCAACAGGAAATTTCATGTAGTCACATATTGGCTGCACGTGTGAGCTGGGAGTGGAGTGGCATTGCATGCAGTTGACTGACGCTTGCTTGAGCAAACCGCCGTTTGCCTGCTCATGTGCTGCAATGCGACTTGACCTTAACGGTTATAAGCGTGCAGGAATTTTTACTTCGGGCGCACATTTTTACTACATGCACGTGTGAGTTTTCTGATATACATACATACATACATATGTACTTATATGCTGCCTATTTTAATTAAAAAGTTGGTTAAGGTTTTTATAATCAGTCAAAATATATTTGCATAGGCTTGAGTGTAAATTTATGCAGCGCCATTGCACTGATTTCTCAACACGCTATTAAATATTTTCCTTTTTTCATAAGAAAGCGCCATATTTTCACAAAAGCTTACACTTTTTTTTTAGAATACTTACGCCACCCGTAGAGTAGGGATCCACGCCACGTTTGTTAAGCAACAACTTGACAACATCCTCACGCGAGTACATGGAAGCTATGTGTAACGCATTGTAGTTGTCCTGCAATTAAAAGTGAAAAGAAGCAAAACGATAAGTGTGAAAGAATGTAGTTGAGTTTCGTAAGTGAAAGTACATAAAAATATCAGTTTCACTTTCAGTTAGCTAATAGATAATAAGTCTAAAATATGTTTTACTTAATAACGCACCATACACTCTCAATTTATAGTCCATAAACAACATTTTGCAGTTCAATAAGCTTTTCAATTTTGTTGTGGAAGTGTATGTACGCTCATTTGACGACACTTTTATCCACTCTCAAATTGTATTGGCTATTTTAATGGGCGTAGCAATAGCACACGCCTTCGCAAAATCTTCCTCTTACTTATTTGGCTAACATTTACGACATGCAACGAATGCATAAAATTTGACCCTGACTTTCTTTTTTTTTTTGGCGCACAAATTTACTACCGGATATTTAGCGGCGTAATTTTCGGTGGGAACAACTAATGGATTCCTCTAATGTATTTCTTAATTCATATTGTAAGCGCCCATTTATTTGTGTGGTTGGTTTGCTGGTGTGCTTTACTTTGTAGAAGTTTAAACTGTTTTCCCAAGAAATTGTAAATATTTTTCTTTGTTGGCACCTGTGGCGTATGAGTGACATGTAACCTGAGTAGGCGACTGGCGGCGGGGCTTTGCGCCTATAGAGTATTCGAAGGGCTTTTTATGCATCATAACACAATACACATACATATATTTCATAAGCAAAATACCACATACCATTAGATTTCATTGTTTTTCTAGCCATTAGTGACAGTTTAAATTTATTAAGCTTTCTAGAAACAGTATAAATATAGTGCTAAAAAATTAAATGAAAAATTTTTTTAATAGATTTGTGACTGATAGCGTAATCGAAGTAAAACTGACGCCGGTAATATAAACGAATATTTGCATTTACTGAAAACAACACATGCTTATTTTGCTTATTTTTATAAGGAGTTGTAACGTATGAGCGCACTTGTGCGCAAGGGTATCATAACCAGGGCTGCCAACTATACTTAGCTATGAAGTGCCATATTGAGGTTAAAAAGTGCCAAAATGTACCAAATAGAAAAGTAGACGCGCAAAAAAAGGTGCCATTTATTTTTAATTCTTCCCATTTAGCACTAAAATTAGAAACACATTCCTAAAACCGAAGTCCAATGCCAAAGTGATATAAAATAAGACAAATGAAAATAAATTAAAGAAAACATAAATATATAAATCAAATAAAATAAAAATAAAATATAAAACAAGTAAGAAAGTCTAAGTTCGGGCGGGGCCGAACATTAAATACCCGGCGCAAGTATTACATATATGCCTTTTCACCTTTCCGAAAGCTACAGCTACATGGTAAGCCGGGGTGTATCAATTTTGAATAAATTAGCGTCCTTAAATTTCGAAATATTGACGTTTCGAGCATTTCTAAAATTTACCGTTATATGAAAAGCCGTAATTTTAGTCCGATTTCAATAATTTTGAACGTTTTGCTTTTATGTGGCAAGCACAATAACCATACCGAGTTTGGTACAAATTGGTAGAACGGTTACCGAGATACATATATGTGATCATAAGTGGGCGGTGCCACGCCCATTTTCCAAAATTTTATGATAAGCGTATTTCCTGATAAAGAATTGTTGCAAGCATCAATTTTGAATAAATTGGCTTTAATATTTACTGATTTATCGAAGATTTCGTATTTCTCCAAATTACCGTTATATGAGATGTGGGCGTGGTTATTGTCCGATTTTAAAAATTTTCGGCCATTTGGTATCCTGTACCAAGGCCAATAACTGTGCCAAGTTTGGAAGAAATCGGTGCAGCGGTTGCCAAGATATACACATGTAACCATAAGTGGGCGTGGCTACGCTCATTTTTCAAAAATTTATAACATTCTTATTTTTCGTCTAAAAATTATTGTAAATATCAATTTTGTGTTAATAATCTTCAGTAGTTACTAAAATATCGCAGTTTTCGTATTTCTGAAAATTACCGTTATATGGGAGGTAGGCGTGGTTATTGTCCGATTTTGCCCATTTTCAATACCATCCGTCCTACGCCCGAAAGAAGTGCACGCGCCAAGTTTCGTTAAGATATCTTAATTTTTACTCGAGTTATCGTGTGCACAGGCGGACGGACGGACGGACGGACAGACAGTCACCGCTTAATCGATTTCTCTTTTCATCCTGATCATTTATGTATACATTTGTCTATATCTATCTCGATTCGTTTTGCCTGTTACAAACAACCGTTATGTGAACAAAGTTATAATACCCTTGTGCACAAGTGCGCTCGGGTATAAAAATACAAACAAAATATTTGTTGGCAATCGCTCCAAACGCAGATCGAACCTGGCACCTACAGACTTGTAGCACGCAACTCTCACCTTTGCTTTGTTTGCTTACCTGTACAGAAGACAACAGCTGGTCGTTTTTACCAGTGTTGTCATCTAAAATTCCCCTGATCCGAGTTAATTCCCAAAAATTTAGTGCATTTGTTTGGCTGCTTATGCGCATTTGAAAGAGGAAAATGCTTGAGATAACCAACGAAATTTGGCATGTCCTTTAGGTAGGTTGGTATTAAAAATTAGCGAAATCGGACTGAAATAAAGCCCACTTCCCCTATAACGGGTTTTTTCTTAATGCAAGAACTACGATATTACGCTGTGCGATAGAAACCAGCACGAACTGTGTTAACATTTTTTGAAAGTATATGTTTCGATCTAAGTGGTTTTCCAAAAAGTGGAAAAATTGTTAAAATAAATGTCTGAGCGAAACTAAAGGTTCAGTTATACATATATAATAAAATTTCATGGGAGATATTTTCGTAGAATATTTTAACCCATTAGCTCCCGCCTAAAAGGGTCGTTAATAAGGGTCTTCTCAGGCAAAAACTTCATGCCACCAACGTAAAAATCTATGACAAGAAGGAATAACAGCTCAATAAACTCAATTTTAAAAAATTAAAAAAAAAACAATTTTTTTGTTGATTTTTTATTTTAATTTTTTATAGACTTTTACGTTGGTTGCATGAAGCTTTTGCCAGAAAAGACGCCTAGTAAAATTTTCCGAAGAGTAATTTTATAGAATATATTAATCCTCTAACGAGCTTCCAAATTTGCTTTTGGCGGGGTTTCTTGTAGTAAGGCGGGAGCTAATGAGTTAGGATGTTGCACAGAAATATTTTTCATGAAATTTTACTATATATAACTGGAACTTTAATTTCGCTCACACATTAATTTTAACAATTTTTTCCATTTTTTTGAAAAGTGCTTAGGCCGGGACATGGAAACTTTAGTAGGCCATAAAATAAAAATACGACCTAACTTTTGCAAATCCATCGAGTGTTTTATTACTGGATATGTATACTTTCAGAAAATATTAGCAAAGTCTGGGCTGGTTTGAATTGTCATAAAATTGTCGCACAGTGTAATCAAGAAATACAAAACACTTAAAATATGCAAGAGAATATTATTAAATTTATTATATATATGTATGTATTATATAGGCGCAAAAAGTCCTACATGCCCAATACACTTAATGAATGCTATTTTTCGCGAAAAATTAAACATCTGATGACCATTCAAATTAACTGCAAAAGTATCTCCAGAAATAAAGTTTCTGCAATTATAGTCAAATAATGCATAACAGGGGAAAAGGGAGTTTAGCGCCTGATAAATATTGAAAAAATATGTGCTTACTCTTTCTTTGGAACTATCGCTAAGATCACTTAAAGTGCCCAAAATTAGACTCAATTAATAAGTGTAAACAAAAGTAATTTCCCATAGCTTAAGGTCTTATAACGCATACTACTGGCCAATATTTCATTTAAATAATTTTTGAACATACCGGGAAAGGTGCTGAAGGATTGACAATTTATTAAAATATATAAGTGATGAAATTTTCTATTCGCTAACCTTTTATGTATTGTTCCTATTTACTATTATTATTCTTATTGCTGGCTGATAATGACTAATTTTACTATCGCGCAGACCTAATGCCCAAAAAAACGATCAAATAGGAAGTTGCATGCAGTATATGATCAAAAACCCCTTTTAATATCAATCTTTTATTTCACAATATGAGTTATTACTTCATATCATACAATTTCGATACAAATTTTATATAATGGATGCATTGTTTTAAAAAACTTTACAAATCATAAATTATACGCATACACACAAATAAGTACCTACATACAAATGTATACATATTTGGAAGATTTCACCACGAATACTTGTTTGAGTGCTTCATGGGTCATTGAACCTTTTCTATTTCCCGCAAAAATTTCGATACTCGCTGCTCCAACACCTACACTAGTATTTTACCACCGTTAGCAGCTCCACACTACGCTTTGCTACGCCTTAAAGTAGGTCAAAGCAATACAAACATTTTGCGCCCTCTGAAAGAAGTTGGAAAATTTTGCGCTACCGTTGTTTTGTTTCCGATGACTTTGCGCCGCCATTAGATGTGTATGTGTATGCAGATGTAAATGTGTGTAGATGTATATATACTAGGGTGCTTTTTTTGCGACTATTGTTTTTTTCACTCCTACTTCGAAACTTTGTGGAAAACACCTAAAAAAACTCCCTGAAAATTTGAACCTTTAATATTAACATTAAGTACTCGCCCAAGGCGTGCAAAGATTTCCCATATAAAATACACGTAAACTTTGATTTTGTTTTCAAAACTCTACAGCTCAGAGGCATTTTATGGTATAATTATGGTCAATCACGGATTGTCTTCAGAATTTAATGCTCTACAAAATTTCCATTGCGGCGTAACTCTAACTCCCACCAGCGAGTTAGTACGGGTCACCAAACAAAATATTTTGATTAAATTCCCGTTTTTTTTTGTCCCTATCTCGTAAATAAAAAAAACCTATAGAAAAATTGCGAATGACAAACTTGTAGGCCATCCAGTTTAAATATAAAAAATAAAAATCAAAGTTTTCGTGTATTTTATATGGGAAATCTTTGCACGTCTTGGCCGAGTACTTAATGCTTATATTAAGGGTCAAAT